TGGCATCAGAGACAAGTACTTGCATTCTACCACCATTTATATAGGTAGTACTAAACCTGCTGCTAAAATTCTCATTATCAGAATTACTTTAAAATAGAAAAGGTGGGTGTTGAAGATTGCCTTGGATGGGGCTGTGACTATTTCCTTTGGCAGTTTGGATTATCCTTGAGAAGAAAATTACTTGCTAGTTATTATTCAAAGCCTGAATTGTCTCTAGGTGTCACTAAATGCAGGCGTGGACTGCTTCATTATCTGAGCAGCTCTTTCACAACAGAAGTTGTTTCAAACTGGAATGCGATGGTTCAATAAGGCAAGGGAGAACTGAATAACATACCTGAAAGAAAGAAAATAACAGGGCTATGGGGTGGAACTAATTGGATCACTAAATGCTTGCTTTCTCTGCTGTATCATTCCAGGAATTCAAGACAAATAAAGACTCTACCGCTGATGGATGGAAGGGCAGGGGGCTGCAATAGGAACAATGTTGGTACTTGCACCTTGAGGCAGATGCATTGCTAGATTGTGGAATATTACGGAGCAATGGGTGGATAGACCCCAGTGGGAGCACTGTGAGCAGATCTGGACACCACACCTTAGGAAGGATATATCGGCCTTGGAGGTATTACAATGTAGGTTTACAAGAATGATACCTGGATGTCAGGGGTAATGTTATGAGGCGAGATTATACAAATTAGGCCTGTTTTCTCCAGAAGTTAGAAGGTTAAGAGGTGGTCTGATCAAAGTCTTCAAAATATTAAGAGGAAAAGACAAGATAGATTGATGTAATATTTCCAATGGTTGGGGATTCTAGAACTAGAATATAGGCTGAGAATTAGGGCCAGACCATTCAGGAAAGATGTTAGGAAAGTCTTCGATACACAAAGGGTGGTAGATATTTGAAACTCTCTTCCACAAATGGCAGTTGATGCAGGATCAGTTGTTAACTTTAAACTGGTACAGATACATTTTTATTAAGCAAAGGTACCAAGAGAGATAGGCCATGGCAGATATATGGAGTTAGGCCAAAGAGCTTGTTGAATGATGGGATAACAAGGTGTAGAGTTGGATGAACACAGCAGGCCAAGCAGCATCAGAGGAGCAGGAAAGCTGACATTTCGGGTCTGGACCCTTCTTCAGAAATGGGGGAGGGGAAGGGCATACTGAAATAAATAGGGAGAGAGGGGGAGGTGGATAGAAGATGGATAAATGAGAAGATAGGTGGAGAGGAGACAGACAGGTCAAAGAGGCAGGGATGGAGCAAGTAAAGGTGACTGTAGGTGGGGAGTTAGGGAGGAGATAGGTCAGTCCAGGGTGGACAGACAGGTCAAGGGGGTGGGATGAGGCTGGTAGGTAGGAGGTGGGGGTGGGGCTTGAGGTGGGAGGAGTGAATAGGTGGGAGGAAGGACAGGTTAGGGAGGCGGGGACAAGCTGGGCTGGTTTTGGGATGCGGTCAGGGGAGGGGAGATTTTGAAGCTTGTGATACCATTGGGCTGCAGGGTTCCCAAGCGAAATATGAGGTGCTGTTCCTGCAACTTTTGGGTGGCATCGTTGTGGCACTGCAGGAGGCCCAGGATGGACATGTCGTCCAAGGAGTGGGAGGAGGAGTTGAAATGGTTTGCCACTGGGAGGTGCAGTTGTTTAGTGCGAACTGAGTGTAGGTGTTCCACAAAGCGGTCTCCAAGCCTCCACTTGGTTTCCATGATGTAGAGAAGGCCACATTGGGAACAGCGGATACATTATACCACATTAGCAGATATGGAGGTGAACATCTATTTAATGTGGAAGGTCTTCTTGGGGTCTGGGATGGAGGTGAGGGGGGAGGTGTAGCACTTCCTGCGGGTGCAGGGAAAAGTGCCGGGTGTGGTGGGGCTGGAGGGGAGTGTGGAGAGGACAAGGGAGTCACGGAGAAAGTGGTCCCTCCGGAAGGCAGATAAGGGTGGGGAGGGAAAAATGTCTTTGGTGGAGGGGTCGGATTGCAGATGGCGGAAGTGCCGGAAGATGATGCATTGGATCCGGAGGTTGGTGGGGTGGTACGTGAGGACCAGGGGGATTCTGTTTTGGTTATTATTGCGGGGAGGGGGTGTGAGGGATGAGTTGCGGGAAATGCGAGATACATAGTCGAGAGCGTTTTCGACCACTGTGGAGTGGAAGTTGCAGTCTTTGAAAAACGAGGACATCTGGGATGTTCGGGAGTGGAATGCCTCATCTCGGGAGCAGATGTGGCGGAGGTGAAGGAATTGGGAATAGGGGATGGCATTTTTGCAGGAAGGTGGGTGAGAGGAGGTGTATTCTAGGTAGCTGTGGGAGTCGGTAGGCTTGAAATGGATATCGGTTTCCAGGTGGTTGCCAGAGATGGAAACAGAGAGGCCCAGGAAGGAGAGAGAAGTATTGGAGATGGTCCAGGTGAACTTAAGGTTGGGATGGAAGGTGTTAGTGAAGTGGATGAATTGTTCGAGCTCCTCGTGGGAGCACGAGGTGGCACCGATAGAGTCATCGATGTAACGGAGGAAGAGGTGGGGGATAGGGCCAGTGTAGCTTCGGAAGAGAATGAGTGATGAGAGATGGCGTGATTGAGAGACTGAGTGATGGAACAGCTTCAAGGGGTTGAAAGGCCTACTCCCTGTTCAACATATTTGAGGTGAGTGAGTGCAGAGACAAAAGGGACATTACAAAAGCTGGAGCTTCCGATACTTTAGAATTACGTGCAGTGGAGATTAGGAGACCAGCAAAAAATGCAATAAGGCAATCATATCTTGAGATATGGAGAGAATTTTCAGAAATGGTGTTGAGATTCTGTTGAGATCTGTTGTTGGAAATAGCTGTTCTTGGCAGTAGCTTTTTCTTTTTGTTTGTAAAAAGTCTAATTTCACTAAAATTATTCTAAATAATTCAAGTTATGAAGCACTTCTGAAAATGTCTGACAGAACTCCATATTTTAAATTTGAATCAAGGTATAAATTGTTCGTTTTTCCACCTCCTAGAGATCCGAGCATTTGGATTCAAAAGTAACAGTATCTGAAAGCTTCATTATTACTGTGGTGCCTGGAACTTGAATCCTGTGAATACTTGAAAGCAGGATCCCATAGCAAGGTTCAACTTAACACAGCACTCTCAGTAGACTTTAGAACTGATGGCTGCTAAAATCATTATCACAAAATGATCTACTCAAAGCTTATAATATCATCATAGATTATCAATTATATCCACAACATCATGAACTAGTGCAGTTTGGACATTGTCCCTGACAAGCCATCTCCTGGCAACGTTTAAGAGTGAGGCAGGGATACAACAATGCAATTAAGAACATGGTCTAGCAATGAGATTTTCCCCCACCCTGCATATGTATTTTCCTCAGGTGGGGAGACATACAGTACTTTGTCCTTATTCAGCTGTATTCCAGGGCCTCTCTAAACATCCGGTGAAGCCACTTTAATTTGCAATTTCACTCTCCAGTGGATTGCAAACACAGGCTAAACTCTGCTGAGGAAGTTGTGCATTTGAAGAAATCGGAAGGAATGAGCAAAGACTGTAGACGTTTTATTACAGGGAAGCATCTAAATCTTGAAACAAATCACTGGTGTCCTCTAAAAACCAGGGCCAGACTGTTCAGGAGAGATGTTAGGAAGCACTTAGAGTCAGAGTCATATATCATGGAAACAGAGCCTTCAGTCCAACTAGTCCACACTGACCATGTTCCCAAACTAAACTAGTCCCACTTGTCTGCTTTTGTCCCATATCCCTCCAAACCTTTCATACTTACGTACTTAGCCAAATTTAAACATTGTAACTGTACCTGCATCCATCACTTCCTCTGGCAGTTCATTCCACACACAAAGCACTCTCTGTGTAAAAAAGTTGTCCCTCATGTCCTTTTTAAAACTTTCTCCTCTCACCTTAAAAATATGTCCCCTAGTTTTGAACTCCCCTATCCTCGGGAAAAGACCTTTGCTATTCACCTTATCAATGCCCCTCATGATTTTATAAACCTCAATAAGGTCACCCCTCAACTTCCTACGCTCCAGTGAAAAAATGTCCAGCCTACCCAGCCTCTCCTAGTAACTCAAATGCTCTACTCCCAACAATATTCTGATAAATATTTTCTGAACCCTCTCCAATTTAATTAACCAAAGGGTCGTAGTTGTTTGGAACTCTCTTCCTCAGATGGCAATCGATGCAGGGTCAGTTGTTAGTTTTAAATCTGAGACAGATAAACTTTTGGTCAGCAAAGGTATTAAGGGATATGGGCCAAAGGCAGGTAGATGGAGTTAGGCCACAGATCAGCCATGTTCTCATTGAATGTCGGAACAGGCTCGAAGGGCTGAATGGCTTACTCCTGTTCCTTTGTTCTATTGAGTAAAGTGGAGGATGGAACATCTTTATCAACTAATGTGATGGGAGAAACTGACATAAGGTAAGGTGAGCAAACTGAGATATGAAGGACAGTAATATTTAATTCAAAAACAGGTTGCTTCCATAAGAAATGTAACAGTTATTTCCTGTGTGAATTGAGTGAGGTCATCTAGGACAAAGGAAAATTGCCATAAAATGAGAGCTGGCTATTCAGGGGGGCAATCACTTCTTCTGGTAATGGGTGAAAGAAATTGGAAACAGTCCCACAGAAATAGTAGTAGATCCTAGCTCAATTAACAAGTTTAAATCTAAGATCCACAGAATCTAATTAGCCAAAGCATATGGTGCAAAGGTGAATAGGTGGAGTTACAATGCATATCAGCCCTGAGTTAATTGAATGTTGGAATAGGCTTGAGGTGCTAAATGGCATTCTCCTGTTCCTGGGCAACATTAAGCACATAGAAGGGATAGTATTGCAATAGTTCCCTATTTATATTTTTATTTAGTGTGGAAATTAACCAACTGAGGAAAAGTATTTGAACATGTTACCAAGGAACAATGTCAAAAACACAACTTATTGGTACAAAAATACTGCCTTAAAAAATTAACAATATTTTTGAAACAGAAATAAAATTATTCATTTACACACTGACATTAGATGGAAATTGGGCTGAAAAACATAATATTCAAGCATATTAGTTTAGGAACATTAAATACAGTAGTTCTTTCTTTTGTGCAGTATTTGCGTTTAATCACAGGGAAAAATACATCCAGCACAATTTGCATGATCTTTACTTAATTTTCTTAATAAAAGTCAAATTTAAAATTTCATAATTAAGTATAAAACAAACGTTAAATGGGTGGCCATTGCAAGTCTCCATCAAATCCTGTGATGATTAAGTTACTCATCTCAATGCTGGCTCACCATGAAAGTCTGTTATGGTGTTGTCTCCAAACATGATTGTATAGCACAATTTCAGAAAACGCATGTAATTCTGAATGCTCTGGTTTTCGTTCTCTGATTGCTCAAGACTGAGCCTCAACTCCTGCAGATGTGTTTCGTGATTCCTCTCAGCCTGAGAAAAAGATTCAACAGCATATATTCATTAAAAAGTGAAGAATGAGTGGCTTAATGTAAATTTCACTACTTCCCATCAGTTTAAGAGTTAGTATCTCATCCACTCTGCTCTTATAAGCATTAAATCTTACAGTGCAGGAGATAGACATTTGGCCAGTTAAGCCTTTGTTGGCTCTTTGCAAGCGCTATCTAATTTAGTCGCACCTCCCAACTTTTCCCACCATAATCCTGTGTAATAGCCCTCGTTAAGTACATGATCAGCTGTCTTCTGGAATGTTGCACCTACTGTTTTCCAGATCTTAAATAAATCTGAGAGAATACATTTTTCACTTCCCCTAGTTTTGGAGAGTGCAGAAGTGATTTTACAAGAATGGTTCCTGAAATGATGAACTCTTTTTTAATTCACTCATTGAATGTGGGAATCGATGACTGGGCAGTATTTATTGCCCGTCCTTAGCTGTCCTTGAGAAGGTGGTGGTGAGCCGCCTTTTTGAAGTCGAGAGGTCCTAATGCTGTAGGTACACCCACTATGGTATTAGGGAGGGAATTCCTGGATTTGGACCCAACGACACTGAAAGAGCATTGATATATTTCCAAGTCAGGATGGTGAGTGACTTGGACAGGAATTTGCAGGTGGTAGTGTTCCCATGTATCTGCTGCCCTTGTCCTTCTAGATGGAAGTGGTCATGGGTTTGGAAGATGCAGTCTGAGGATCTTTGGTGATTTTCTGGAGTGCATCTTGGAGATAGTAGACACTGCTGTTACTGAGCGTCGGTGTTGAAGTGGTTGAATGTTTGTGGATGTGATGTCAATAAAGCGGGCTGCTTTGTCCTGGATGGTGTCAAGCTTCTTGAGTGTTGTTGGAGCTCATCCAGGATAGTGGGGAGTATTTTGGGCCCTATATCTAAGGAAGGATGTGCTGGCCTTGGAGGGGGTTCAGAGGAAATTACAGGAATGATCCTAGGAATGAGAGACTTGTCATATGAGGAATGGTTGAGAACTCTGCGTATGCACTCAATGGAGTTTAGAGAAGGATGAGGAGAGATCTCATTGAAACTTACAGAATTCTGATAGGCCTGGATAGAATGGACATTGAAAAGATATTTCTACTAGTAGGAGAGACGAGGACCTGAGGACACAGTGAAGGGACAACCTTTAGAACTGAGAAGAGGAGGAATTTTTTTTCAACTAGGGAGAGGTGAATCTATGGAACTCATTGCCACAGAAGGCTGTGGAGGCCAAGTCATTGAGTATCTTTAAGAGTGAGATAGTTAGTTCTTGATTAGTTAAGAGATCAAATGTTACAGGAAGAAGGCAGGAGAATGGAGTTGAGTAACATATCAGCCATAATCGAGTGGTGGAGCAGACCCGATGGGCCAAATGCCCCGATTCTGTTCCGATACTGTATCTTATAACCTTAGTTCATCACACTCCTGATTTGTGCCTTGTAGCCTTCATCTATTCTTAGCCTCTGACCTGCTCTTGTAGCCACTCTGTTAATGTGGTGAGTCCAGTTGAGTTTCTGATGAATGATAACTCCCAAGATGTTGATAATGGGGGATTCAGTGATGGTTACACCAATGAATGTCAAGGGGCGGTGGTTAGATTGTCTCCTGTTGGTGATGGTCATAGCCTAGGTGGACATGCTTTAAGGAGTCAGGAAAGGAGTTACTCACTGCAGTATTCCTAGTCTCTGACCTGTCCTCATAGCCAGTGTGTTAATATGGGGCGTCCAGTGCGGTCTGTGGTCAATGGTAACCCCCAGGATGTTGATAGTGGGGGAATTCAGTGATGGTAATGTCAAAGGGCAGTGATTAGGTTGTCTCTTATTGACGATGGTAATTGCCTAGCACTTGTGTGGTTTGAATGTTGCTCATCACTTTTCAGCCCAGCCTGGTTATTGTCCAGGTCTTATTGCATTTGGTCATGGTCTGCTTCAGAGTTACAAATCGTGCTTCAGTCATAAGAGTAGACTTAAGAAGTTGGAACTGTTCTCCTTGGAGAGAAGAAGGCTGAGATGTAAGGTAGGGCAAAAATCCCCATCAGTTTATAGCCATACCCTGGACATAACACCCTCTGAAGGTAGAAGTTGTGGAAATTACTTTGGATTAAATTCAGCGAACTTTTGGGACTCCAGAAACCATGGGCTGCAACTGAGTCAGGAAAAGGCTAGTTGGGACAAACTGGGAAATATGCAATCCCAGGGGCAGATGTCTGGAACAGGAGTTAGCTTGCAGAAACTAAAGACGCCTCTAAGATTTCAGAGTAGACCTGTAGCTCGGGTTGTGGCTCGCTGAGCTGGTACGTTGTTTCGCAGACGTTTCATTACCATGCTGGGTAACATCATCAGTGCAGCCTCTGATGAAGCTGATGAAGCTACATCGGAGGCTGCACTGATGATGTTACCCAGCATGATAACAAAACGTCTGCGAAACAACAAACCAGCTCGGCGAGCCAACCAACTACAACTAAAGATGCCTATTCATGCCCCAGCTTTTCTTTTCCTTTATTCATTCACAGGATGAGGGTGTTTCTGGCTAGGCAGCATTTATTGCCCCATCCCTAATTGCCCAGAGGGCAGTTAAGCATCAACCACATTGGTGTGGGTCTGGAGTCACATGTAGGCCAGACCAGGTAAGGATGGCAGTTTCCTTCCCTAAAGGGCATTAGTGAACCAGATGGGTTTTGCCCCCAACAATTGGCAGTGGATTTAACATTAGATTCTTAATTCCAGGTTTTTATTGAATTCAAATTCCACCATCTGCCGTGGTGGGATTCGAACCCGGATCCCCAGAACGTTATCTGGGTCTCTGGGTTAACAGTCCAGTGATAATACCACGAGGCCATCGCCTTAAACAATGGAAGCCAGACTGCAGGAAACAAACAACTGCAACAGCTTCAGACCCTCTGCAGCCTACAGAGGTACAAAGCCATTCAATTTTCCAGCCAGTGGTCAGGCACAGAAATACTGAACATTCCACACCATTGTGCTACAAGCAAACCTGTTCCACCTATGAATGCAAAGACATTCACAACACTATTCAAACCTGAATGAATAGAATCACTACAGTGTGAAAGCAGGCCATTCGGCCCATCAAGTCCACACCAACCCTCCGAAGAGCATCTGACCCAGATCCACCCCTCTACCCCATCACAGTAGCCCTGCATTTCTCATGGCTAGCCCAGCTAACCTACACATCCCTGGACACTATGAGCAATTTCCCATAGCCAATCCACCTAACCTACATATCTTTGGACTGCGGGAGAAAACCGGAGCACCCAGAGGGACCCACACAGACACAGGGAGAATGTGTGAACTCCACACAGACAGTCACCCCAGGGTGGAATCAAACCCGGGTCCCTGGCGCTGTCAGGGAGCAGTGCTAACCACTGTGCCACCGTGCCACCCCCTTCTGAGACCCCCATCACCTCCATTAAAGTCACTATTTGGGTGGTATTTAGTGGAGAAGAATGTCTCAAGGTGTTTCACAAAAAAACTGGCTTGTAATTAATAAAAAATAAAGTTCACAATAACAGGGTATCCCAAAATGCCTTAGTGCCAACATTACATCTTTGAATACCCATCCAAGGAAAATACTGGACATTCCAAAGCCATCGAAACCATTCACCTTAATCAAAAAACCGTTCACACCGACTCCAGTGCTCAGGAAGCCCATTCAGCCCCGAGAGGGGGAACAATAGCTAACAGATCTGGTGGGAGATAAGGGGGCCTGCAGCACGGCAGAGAAGGAAGAGAGAGAGAAGGAGAAAGAGAGCGATACCAGCCCTGTGATACCAGCACTGCGTGTGTGCTCTGAGGTGGGCTCCGCGAGGAGAGTTTGAGAGTCCGAGCGAAAAGCAGGCCCCTCTCACGAAAGAGAGCAGCCCTCGCAACCACAGAACACCAGTAGCTAACCACGAACCTCTACTCGAAGGCATCCAGGAATACAAGACACTGACCAGGGCAATGTATCTATGTACCCAATGTACCCATTGTATCTATTTACCCACTGTATCAAGTCCTGGCTGCAAGGCTTAACTGGGGGTCACGTTAACTGGGAGACAGGTCTCAGTCAGAGATAGGCGGGTTTTTAAATTTTGATGTTGCCTTTCTTGTTTTGTGTAAATATATTAAATTTTGCTTGGTTGTTCAATAAAATCTGCCTCCTGTGTTTTCCACCACACCGCATTTCACTACAGAAGCCCAGTGTCAGAACCAGGGAGCTGGTGAGCAATAAACCAGGCAGCGCTCCCTACAGAAAGGAAATTTGATGAGAGTTTTCAAAATTGTGAGTGAGGTGGACAGAGTAGAATGAAAGAAGATGTTTCCACTCATGAAAGAAAAAAAAACAAGAAGGCATAAATTTAAAGTGATGTGCAACTGAGGTGTGATGTGAGGAAGAAACGTTTCCACACAGTGAGTAGTTAGGGTGTGGAATGCACTGCCTGGAATTGTCGTGCAGGCAGGTTCAATGCAGGCATTCAAGAGGATATTGGATAATTATTTGTGTGGAAATGGTGTGCAGAGATCTGGGGAAAAGGCAGGAGGTTGGCACAAGGAAATAGAACCAATGCAGGCTCGATGGAATGAATAGCCCCCTTCCGCATTGCTTTGTGATCCTGAGATTTTTTTTTGCCAACTCTTTTAAGTTCTCCTCAAAATTTATTCCTTGTGATCTAAATTGTTTTTCCTTTCTCAGCGGTATGCTGTCTGGAGGTCTTATAGCACAGTGTGTTGTCCTGGCCTCTGACCCAGAAGCTCCATGTTTCAATTGCACACTAAGATTTGTTGAACGTGGAATGTATGTTCATAATGCAACCGAGCAGGTTAATTGTCAACCTGTAAGTCCTTCCAGTTTGCCTGGTAGCAGGCAATAAGAGCCAAACAGCCACAGGCAATGGTAAAGCACTGCAGTACACTGCCTATGAGCATGGATCATGCCAATGGAAGTGCACATTCTGACCTCGAAAGCATGAATGAGAGAAACAATAGACTCCACTGTCTAACTGAATTACTTTCTGTTGATTTGGGTTTGTTTCTGTCTAACCCCACTCCTTTATTTAACCTAACTTCATAGCATTATTCTGCCAAAGACGCAGAAATATTGCAATGCAAAATTCGAAAGTGGTAATTTCAGAAGTCTTGAAAATCATTTGTAATGTTTTGCTGGTAGAAAATTCAATCATGAACACAGTGAAGATTAATTCATGGTTTCAAGGGTTTCAAAGTAATTGCAAACTCACTGGTTGCCGCATTGTATTTAATCTTTTCAGGTCATTGGAAAATGGAATACAAAAACGTGGCAGAAATTCTTGGTGCAGTTCAAAAAAATTGCAGTCATCAGAAAATAATAATGCTTAAGCTTAAAGGAAATCTGAAATGATCATCTCAAATTACCTTGCTGATTGTTGTAAAGGTTAATTCACAGGTAATATTTGTTCAGTACCTGATTTATATTTGCTCAACAACCTTAGAACAAACTCTGTAACCTCTGTCAGTCAACCTTTTTTTCTGTAAATATCAGATTTAACTACAAGACTTGAGCAAGCTTCTCAGTCTCTGACTGAGCCTGGTATTATATTGCGTTTTCACTTATTCATCCCTTGGTGTCACGGAATTCAATAGAGATTCATGCCTCCTCCCCATACCTACCCCACTTGTAAAGCTCGAGATTAATGTATAAATTCTTGAGATTCATATGGGGTATTTGTCTGAAAGAAAGTGTGAAATGACCTTGAGATCAGATGCTTCTGCGTCTGAAAAAACAGGCTTTTTATTTTCTTTGTTCTATCAGAGAATGTCCAATGATTCCGTTCTTATAGTCTTAGTCCATCACACTCCTGACTTGTGTCTTGTAGCTTTCATCTGTTCCTAGCCTCTGACCTGCTCTTGTAGCCACTGTGGGGGGTGGTGGAATGCTAAAGGGATATAGCCATCTCTGCAACAGTTTAAAAGTTCACTTCCTTAACTAGGAGCTTTGATTCCTGAATTAGGGACAGCAAAGAGCAGAGATTTTGTGGATTGTGTAACTTTGGAAGTTACACCCTCAACAACAACCTAGCAGATACTCAAGCCCCAGTGAAGCTTCACCTCATTTGAACTTTAAAATTCCTTCAGTGGGCACAAACAAACTGCAACACCTACTCGACATGGATTCCTTAAACCTCTCGCCCATAGATTTCTATTTCTAGAGCTTTTCTCTCGTTTGCTTCTGAACCAGTTAGACCTTCTTTAATTGTGCCCTGACTGTTCAGGAGAGTGAAGAACTGTATTGTTGCTCTTACATGCCTTTCTCTAAATGACTTGCTTCCCTCAGAAAGAATCTTGCACACTCACTGACCTTCTGGATTGTACTCTCTCTCTGAAATGAAACTTGTTTTTGTCTCTGTTTTCTAGTGACATAGGAGGCCTTGCTTCTAGGCAACAGTCCAAATTTTTGCCCCCTCTCTTCTCTCCTTGTGTTCCAAAGCAATGACCTATTCACCATGAGAGTTATTTCTAAATGCCTCATTTAAATGCATGTAAACGAATATCCAGACAACTTCATATCACCTCCAGAACCCAAAAATGAAAGTAAAAACATGTCCTTCCCTTCTTAATACACGCGGCGTAGAAATGTATATCAACTGAAAGCTAGACATGGTTCTGTCCACATTAGAATTCAAGTTTTCAAACAATAATAACACCACAAACCTCCATCATGCAGTGTTTTCTGTGTTTTAATCAATAAACTGGACTTTATGGTCTACACCATCAGATTTATCTTCAGTTTTGGCTGAACGGAACATAAAATGTCAGGCTTCCAGCCTACTGACTTCCTGCCTATTATCAACCCAGTCCCCATAAATATGGTGAGAAGGGGAAGGTGTTCACTAGCCCATACACCCTTAGGCCCATTGACAGTCTGAAGATGCCAATTATTGTTCAATGAACTACGTACAGTTCTGGTCGCCACATTACCAAAAGGATGTGGATGCTTTGGAGAGGGTGCAGCGAGGTTCACCAGGACGTTGCCTGATATGGAGGGCGCTAGCTATGAAGAGAGATTGAGTAGATTAGGATTATTTACATTAGAAAGACGGAGGTTGAGGGGGGACCTGATTGAGGTCTACAAAATCATGAGAGGTATAGACAGGGTGGATAGCAAGAAGCTTTTTCCCAGATTCGGGGATTCAATTACTAGGGGTCACGATTTCAAGGTGAGAGAGGAAAAGTTTAAGGGAGATATGTGTGGAAAGTTCTTTACGCAGAGGGTGGTGGGTGCCTGGAACGCGTTGCCAGCGGAGGTGGTAGAGGCGGGCATGATAGCGTCATTTCAGATGTATCTAGACAGATACATGAATGGACAGGGAGCAGAGAGATACAGATCCTTGGAAAATAGGCGGCAGGTTTAGATAGAGGATCTGGATCGGCGCAGGCTTGGAGGGCCGAAGGGCCTGTTCCTGTGCTGTAATTTTCTTTGTTCTTTGTCGTTCTTTGAAAGGCCTCAGTCCACCTCCATTGCCATAAATTGCTGAGAAGTGACAGACAGCCAAACTTTAAGCAACTTTGTTGGAAAGATTGGAAAGGAATGGGGAGGGAGCTGTTTGTGGGAGAACACATCATTTTGGCATTTCACTGTGAGCAGAGGGGGCATCCCTTATCTGAGATGTTATCCCTCTCCCCCAGTGTTCCAAAATAATGCCTCTCCGAGGTTCCAACTTTCTTGGCTTCCAGAACCTACCCTCACCTGAAACACTGGATTTACTCTCCCTGGTGAACATACACTCTTCATCGCTGGGACGTCTTGCAGTTCCAGCACTGCCCACTATTCAATTATGGCACTGCTGAGACCAGTGAAGACAATGGCCAATCAAAACATTTGGCAACTCTCGAGGGTATGACTCTGCCTTGCTAATGGGTGCAAGTCCGACTCTCAGCTTGTTCACATTGCCCACTGCAACATGTTCTCGGTTTGAGACTGACATTTACTCCCAGGTCCCTTGTAAGTCCAGCCCAATATTTGTCCAATATGCTGTCTCTACATCAGCATTTGTTTCACACAATGTGGAGCACTGATGTTTTACTTTTCCAAAGGATGGGGATTCAAATCCTACTCTGGAGACTTTAGCTCAAAGATCCTGGTTGACACTCAGTACAGCACTGAGCGAGTACCCACTGCTGGAGATGCCTTCAAACCAGGAGCTCATCAAATCTCACAGGTGGAAGTTAAATGGATTCTGTGGTGTCATTTCAATAAGGAATGAGGAAATTATCTCCAATAATGATCGCTCAACCAACATTACTGGAAAATATTATTTGGTTATCATCACATTGCAGTTGTGAATTTCACAAATTGGATAAAATAATTTCCGATATTACAACAGTGACTACGTTTCAAAAGTACTTCAGTGGCTTTAAAGCACTTTGGAATGTCCTTAGTCTGTAAAAGGCATTACATAAATAATTTATTTCTATGTTTCCTCTTTCTTTTACATTCAGTCACCTGTAGGGTTAAGTTCCTCAGATATGTTAGCATGCTCAGACAGTGAGTAGTTGAATAAAGGAGAGAAAAGTCAAAGGGGCAAGTAAAACAAGTTGGGCCTGATTTCTAATTGCATGCAGATTTTAGCTGTACTGTACTCTCTCACTTGTGGTATAGATTTTTGGGCAGCTTGTTCCCCCTTTTCAGTTCTGTACAATTCTACTTTTGGTCACTTTTACTTTCAACTTATTTTTAATTTGTCATTTGACTCTACACAAAAATATGTTCTGTCCTCCCCACAGACACAGAAAACTCACATTATTCTTGTTCCATTGAAGCTGTTGCAGTTCTTTGGTCTTTCTATTTAATTCCGATCCAAGGCTATGTAGTTTGCTCTGAAGGGCATGTTCTTGAGTTTCGGTCTGATCCTTCACCTCTCTGACCTGCGAATGCAAAACAAACAGTCCGAAAGAATGACAACCCACAGTGGGATAAACACATCTATCAAGATATGCAAGTCTTTGGAATAATGGTCTTGTGAATGAAGACATGACTACAGGGTACAAAGTTGTCACTATTATCCAAACATGAATTATTTGCCTGGTTAATTATCCACCAGATTTTGTTGACATCTGCAATGAAATATTGCCTGATTGTACAGCACAGGAATGTCAATCACAACCCGCCTGTTAGAAATCTAACTCACCTGAATAAAACTAGGTCACAGTTGTGTTAGTAACTTTAAATTGAGGAACTCTCATCACAAATCCCCAGCGAAAATCAATGTTTTCTAATCATTTGATTAAAAACTCTCCATAATTTAGTAAACCTCTTATGAAAATATCTTCCTTGGCTTTCACTGGAAATATTTCCATGCCTTTAATCTCTCTTCATTACTACCTGAGGCAATTTAGAATTTGTGCTCTTTACTGTTTCAGAGTCCTTGCTACAAAAGGGGCCACCTAAATGGTAAATAGTACTCTATCAGTGACCTAATCTCATTTTGAATTGTTTCATTGTGAGTGTTGCTAGCTGAGCCAGCCAGTGTTCACTGCCTGACCCTAGTTGCCCTTGAGAAGGTGGTAATGAGTTGCCTTCTTGAATCACTGCAGACTGTGCGCTGCAGTTGGGAATTCCAGGACTTTGCCCTTTTGGCACTGAAGGAACAGAGATGTATTTCCAAGGATGGTGAGTTTCATTTTTATAGAGAAGCTAATCATTAACTTCCTTAGTCTTGAGCTGTACACTGCTTATAACCCCAAATTTCCATTGGTTTTATCTATAAGTGCAATTTCATGGAACTTAAGTGATCCCTAGGGACTTCAGCTCTTCAACTCCCAAGGATGATGTCATTTATGATTGTGAAGCAAGTCCCACTACAGAGATCTTTACAAAACATTCAGACCAACACAAATGAAGTGCCTCACTGTCAGATGCATCAGTTAAGACAGTAAACCAGGACGATGTCTGTTCTTTCAGAAAAATATCATGTGACACTATCGCTAAGGCCAGAAATCAAAGTCTCTCCTGCATCTTGGACAACATTCCCATAACCACCTTACTCCAACCTCTATCCTAACCTCACCATTAAACTTACTGACAAGGTGTGTGTGTGTGTGTCTGTGTGTGTGTCTGTGTGTGTGGTCGACCCGTTGTCTCTGCCTGCTCCTGCCCCACCGAACTATGCCTGCCTCTTTGGAGGATTCATGGAACAGTCCCTCTTCAACAACTAAACCAGTACCATCCCTCACCTCTCTCCGCTACATTGATAACTGTATCGGTGCTGCCTTGTGCTCCTGCGAGGAGCTTGAACAGTTCATCAACTTCGCCAACACCTTCCACCATTTGCTCAAACTCACCAGCTCCATTTCTGACACCTCCCTCCCATTCCTGAACCTCTCCATCTCCAGTAACCAACTCTCTACTGACATCCATTTCAAACCCACTGACTCCCATAATTACCTCGACTACATCTCCTCTAACCCTCCCTCCTGCAAAAATGCTATCCCATACTCACAATTCCTCCACCTCCGCCACATCTGCTCCCAGGATGAGGTGTTCTACTCTAGGCCTTCCCAGATACCTCATACTTTAAGGACTGTAACTTCCCCTCTGCTATTAAGGATGCCCTTAACCACATCTCCCCCATTTCCTAGGCTTCTGCCCTCAAACCTCTCCCCCCAACAATAATGATAGGAACAAAAACAGAAGTTGCTGGAAAAGCTCAGCAGGTCTCGCAGCATCTGTGAAGAAAACATCAGAGTTAATGTTTCAGGTCAGGTGACCCTTCCTCAGAACTGTTTTGATTTTTTCTTTGTCCCACTGTTGCCATTAAGCAGAGTACCTTCACAATGTTTTTTCTACAGAACATGAAGGCGTTTTGAATACACAAAATACGTTTTTGTTATAAGGAGCTGACAGCCATCAAATCTGTTCCTCAATACTGACATGGATTTCCAAGCACTTCCTTCCTGTAGTCATGAAACCTCAAACCTAAACATGTCCTTGAAAAGATTCAGCTTATTCGAAGAATAAAGAAAGAATGCGCACTAAAATGTCCACCAGCACCAGAAATCGCAGACTTCACAGTCAATGGAGTACTTTTTGAAATGTAGCCAATGTTGTAAATGTAGGAAACATACAGCCAATTTCTGCCTAGCAAGTTCCCACAAACAGCAATCTGATCAGATCATCTATTCCTGTCATTCTGAACGTGGCATAAATATTGGCCAGGTCACCAGAGATAAACCGTCTGCTCTTTGAAATTGTGCCATTAAAAATTTTCCAAACCATCTGAGCAGGCAGATAGGGATTATCCCAATTGAAAGGTGGCATTTCTGACAGAGCAGAACTCCCTCATCACGTGAGTAAACTAGCGGTTCAAGTTTTGCACTTGAGTGGAGTGGGATTTGAACCAGCAATCTGGCTCTTTTTATTGTTTTTCATTATTCGTTCATTGGATGTGGGCGTTGCTGCTTGTTGGGCCAGCTTTCATTGCCCATCCTCTAATTGCCCCTTGGAAGGTGATGGCTAGCTGACTTCTTGAACCATTGCAATCCGTCTGCTGCGGATAGACTTGCAATGCTTTTATTTTAATTTTTGAAGTCTGGCTGTTGGGTGACCTGGAGGGGAGCTTGAAGATGCTGGGGTTCCAGGTATCTGCTGTCTGTGTCCTTCGAGGTGGTTTCAAAAGACGAGGTTGCTAGCAAAGATCAAATGACAACAGACAGCACCAGGCTTTGTCTATTGTAACTGCTATGTATTTGTTCAGCATAGGGGAAGCCACAAACCGGTGGAAAAATAATTTTGCAGGGCAGTAATGTGTTCATACCTTTTCAGTAACATCATGTAAAGCAGCTTCCAGCTGTCGACGCAGCGCAGCAGATTCCCATGTCCTCTCTTCTAGCTGAGATTTGCTAAGCAGAAAAGCTTCTTCTTGTTGTGCCATTGTCTCTTTTAGTTCTTCATTGTGTAAATTAACCTCCTTCAGTTTCCTTCAATTAACAATAATCAAAATCCTTAAGTAAAACCAAACAGGAAAAACGGCCACTTATCTCAGAAGAGCCTTTTAAAGGCAGTTAGAGAAGACACAAACATCATTCCATGGAAAGTTCATAATAAGTTAACAGCCAGTTCTCTCAGAGAAACAAGAGATATGGGGAAGAGGTGGGAAAGTGCAGTTGAAGTCAAAGATCAGCCATGATCACACTGAATGGTGAAACAGGACATTTGGTCTACTCCAGATCATGTGCCTGAAACGTTTATTTAAAAATTTTATAAAGCAAAACAATGCAGATGCTGGAATTCTGAAACAAACACAGAATGCTGGAGAAACTCAGCAGGTCTGGCAGCATCTGTAGAGTTGATGCTTTGAGCCCGATATGAAGACTCAAACCAGACTCAAAATGTTAATGGTTTTCTGAAGAAGGGTCTTGACCCGAAACGTCAGCTTTCCCGCTCCTCTGATGCTGCTTGGCCTGCTGTGTTCATCCAGCTCTACACCGTGTTATCTCAAAATGTTAACTCTGTTTTCTCTCTCTGCCAGACCAGCTGGGTTTCTCCAGCATTCTCTGTGACTGTTTTATTTAATTGTTAGTATTCTGAGCAGTTTGGCTAGTTGTCTTTTTTCAATTATGTACCAGGTACACATTTATACCAGACTGAGCCAGAGAGAGATAGAAAATAGGAGCAGGCCATTCGGCCCTTCGAGGCTGCTCTGCCATTCAATACGATTGTGGCTGAGCAGACAACTGACTCCCTATTCCCACTTTCTCTCTATGCCCTTTGATCCCTTTAGACCTAAGAACTATATCTAGCACCTTTTTGAAAGCATTCAATATTTTGGCCTTGACCACAATCTGTGGCAGAGAATTCCACAGATAACAGCTCTTGGGTTCAATACACGTTGTGTTGATGATAGTTCAGAAGAGGCGTCACTGGACCCGAAATGCTAACTCTGCTTTCTCTCCACAGACGTGGCGAGACCTGTTGAGTTTCTCTAGTAATTTCTGTCTTTGTTATTCATTGTGTTGAGTTAGCTGATCTCATGCACAGCAATTGTAAGGATCCCACATTTGGTCATAATGGTCCAAGAGTTAATCTAATCCTTAATAAACACTGGCCCATGAACAAAATTAACTGCAGAACGTCACTAAGGTAGGATTAACCCAGCAAGCTGGACTGCCGTTTTAACAAAGGCAAGCTGATTGCTGGCAAATTTCATTTATAAACCATGTCACCATGAAAACCTCAGTTTTGGAAGGATTTAACAGGACCTTCCCCTCAGCATAGGTAGGTTAAGTGGATGAATAGCTGAACCATATAATCTGAAGATTCAATGCCCAAATTAATCTCACCTCTCACAGACAGGGTGCAAATTGACTTTGGTAATTTTGGGTCTGGGTTGGATGGGGGAAAAGTGAGCCACAGTTTCCATCTGAATTGCTATTGGGATCGTTGGGGAGGAATCCTGGATTGCATCTGTGGAAACATCTACAAACTCCACATCCCCAACCCAGCTCCACTGGTGGTGAGCTTGGAAGTAGAGGTCCCGGAAAGCAAGGCCAATGCTGGGGAACTGACCCGTGGGCAGGCCCCAAAGTGGACTGGCCAATTTACATCGCAAAGTCCCAACCATGGGCAATCTCGCAGCCTCACCACCATTTTGCCAATGGCAGGGCAGCTCCCAACATATGCAGAGGCCACCCACTCAAGGGAAGGTCACCTCCCATGGCCCTCCAATACCAGAAGCTCCAGCGGCAAAGTGTAGGTTGAAAGGCAGCAATTGGCAATTCAGCAGATGGGATTCTTTTATTCATTCGCAGGATGTTGACGCTCCTGGCTAGGATAGTATTTATTGCCCATCTCTAATTGCTCAGTGGGCATTTAACCCAATTTGCCTTCCAGCCTGGACGTTGGGTGTTTGAAGTCTGAAGTGCAGACCAATGAAGCTGCCTTCATCTGTTGGTGCCCTTTGTGATTGGCAGTGATTTCCTCCAATTGCAGGAGCAGCCTTCCTGCCATCCATAGGACACCAAACGCAGAGATGATCAAATACGAATCTACGTCCAGGAGGATCACAATGCTGGTCTCACTGCTGGGGCAAGTGTGGGCTCAGGACTAAACTTTAGTGCTGACATTGAGGACTCGGAGCAACATCCAAGCCCACAGGAGTCAATGTTTTTCAGGAGATGAAAGTGGAGGGTAAGAACAGGAGGACAAAAAAAAAAGGTCTGAAAGCAAAGCAATGCATTTTGTGTCAATTATAACCATAAGTTAAATCTAGAGAAATACAGATGAGTTAATGCATATTTTATTTAAGCATCAGAAAAAGGCAAGAAGATGTAATAAAGGTTAATAATACAACTCAACGGTCTTTTATGTGATTTGACAATGTAGTAATTAAGGCAACTGCTTCAGAATTATGGGTCAGTACTTGCCAACGAATATTCTGTGATATAATCAGTTCCTAAGTGATGGAACTTAATGGAGTGCCCAGCCTATCTTTATCCACTTCTTTTTAGCTGATTTAAATGGAACATTAAAAAGGTCCTGACGAAAGCTATTTTATCAAAAGTCCCAGTGGCAGGTGAATGAGAGACAGGGTGAACTGTGAAGAATGGAATATTAGAAGCACGGCAAGGATTCATTTGCCTGGCAGTTTGAAATTAATAGCTGCACTTCAGATGTTATTCAGAATCATCCATATTATGTCTCACCCTACTTGTCTGGAACTGCAACAGTCAAACCCAGGAGAGAGCTGCATGCGTGCCTGGATACTGAGATGAGCGGAGGTCACTACCAACATAGTAAAAATAGATGTTTTTAGATGATAGGGGAGGGTGACAGTCCTCATGTTTTAACTGGATTTCAGTGTTTTCCATTCAGTGTCCAAAATCTAATGGTGCCCCTCTCTGCACTTTGCAAGCCAGATTACACAGTGCAGTAGATTTATAGCACATGGGGAAATTGAAAGGGTGCGGATACATCTTCCCCACTGCCACTCAGGGGAGTTAATAAAAATCAAACAGTCTTACAGCACAGGTGGAAGCCATTTGGCCTGTTGTGTCTATCCTAGCTCTCTGAAAGAGTGGTTATATTAGTTCCCTCTCCCCACCCCTGCTTGTTCATCATAACCCTGTCCAATCCCTTTTAACTAGGTTCACTGAGTCTGCAGCCTCTGCCTCTTCTGTACAGTGCTCCATAGCCAAGTGAAAGTAATGCTCATCTTTCTCTAGATGTTTTTCTGTACATTTTTAACCCTTGATTTCTCGTTACTGAACCAGTTGCCAGAAAGATTACCTTTCTCTATTTACTCTGTCACAATCTCTCATAGAAACATAGAAAATAGGAGTAGGCCATTTGGCCCATTGTACCCATTCCACCTATCAACACGATCATTGGTAATCCTCTATGTAAAAAAAGTGGAGGTGGTAGTGTGTTGGTAATACCACTGAATTAATGATCCAGAGTCTGGGCTAATATTCCAGGACATAGGCTCAAGTCCCACCATGGCAGTCGGTAGAATATAAATTCAATAAAAATCTGGGGTTTTAACAAAAAAGCTAGACTACTGGCGATCATGGAGCCATTGTTGATTGTCATTAAAACCCATCTGGTTCACTAATGTCCTTGGTGGAACAAAATCTGCTGTCATTACTGGATTTGGCCTACAGGCAGGCAGCAATATGATTGACACTAACCTTCTCTCTGGGCAATTGGAGAGACTGTTTAAATGCTGTCCTAGCCAGCAATGCACACGTTCCATGAAAGACTGTCATACTCCAGCTCACTCCGCATATCCCTTCACTCTATTAAGTTCTAGAAATCCATTTATTTTATTCTTAAATATATTCAGTGACTTGGCCTCTACAGCATTCTTGGGTAGAGACTTGCACAGGTTCACTCACTTCTGAAGAAATTTCTCCTCATTTCAGTCCAAAACAGCCTGCAGAGTATCCCAAGTTCATGGGCCCTCATTTCCCGTGGCCAGGGGGTCCAGAATACCAACCATGTATCTAGTCTGTCCAGCCCTGTTCATCCTCTTGAATAAAAAAATCCATTCAGTCACCTTTGTTGACCCCCAGCTTTCCAATCTCTGGTCAGAATGGAAGACTCCTATCCTGACTAACTTCCTGCTAAACCTCATCTAAACTCTTTCTATAGTCTTTCATGAAATCTTGTGCTCAAAACTGTCCACAATACTCCGCCTGGGACCTTACCAGTGATTAACAGAATATCTGCAGACCAGTCAGATTAATTTTGGGATTGGGGAAATCTTCCAGAGACAACTACTTGGGATAGAACTAATAGTCAATCCGACAAATATGGGTTAGTTCAGCAGAGTCAGCATGGATTTGTTCAGGAAAAATTGTGTCTAAATAACTTTGAGGTTTTGAAGGGGTAACAGAAGGTTGATGAGGGCAAGGCCATTGATGTGGTGTACGTTGACTTCCCTGTTTGAGACGTAATAGATGTTGGAATAAAAGTGACAGTAGCAAAATGGGTACAAAACTGGCTGAAGGAAAGGACCACTATAATATGTAATGATCTTGATCATGGTGTATAGGGGACAATTTGAAAGTTTGTATATGACATAAAACTTAGAAGCATTGTAAACTGGGAGGAGGACAATTTAGAATTTCATATAAGTCATAGTTATAGAATCCCTACAGTGTGGAAACAGGCCCTTTTGCCCAACAGGTCCACACCGACCCTCAGAGCATCCCACCCAGACTCATCCCCCTATAACCCACTTAATCTACACATCCCTGAACATTACGGGCAATTTAGCATGGTCAATCCACCTAACCTGCACATCTTTGGACTGTGGGAGGAAACCACAGCACCCGGAGGAAACCCACGCAGACACAGGTAGAATGTGCAAACTCCACAAAGACAGTTGCCCGAGGGTGGAATCGAACCCGGGTCCCTGGCACTGTGAGGCAGCAGTGCTAACCGCAGAGCTACCGTGCCATCAAAATGACATTGACAAGTTGGTGGAGTGGGCAGATAGGTGGCATATGAAGAAGTGTGAGATGATACACTTTGTTATTAAGAACATGAAGAGATGGTATAATAAAGGGTATTATGCCGAAGAGTGTGCAGGAGCAGAGACTAGGTTCAATGTGTGCGTAAGTCATTTAAAGGTAGCAGGACAGCTATTAATAAAGCATGCAGTATGTTAGGCTTCATTACTGAGGGCATAGATCCAGAACTGGAAGGTCATGGAGAACCATTAAAGGAAACTAGTTAGAGACTTCAGGTGAAGTATTATGTACAGTCTGCGCACCACACATTACGAAGGCAGTGAACTCATTAGAGAGCGTGCAGAAGAGGTTTATAAGAACGGTTCTATCAACACTGGGATTAAGTACCACGGCACCTCGATGGCCTTTAAAAATGCCCACTTCAGCATTTGGAATTTCTTTGGTTGTCTCCAAAACTCTCTGTGGGATCAACTGGCCAAAATGTGCCCCCTACTTGCCACCTAACACTGAAAATTTCATCTTAAGAGCCAATTACTCTGAAGGTGGGCACACAAGCCAGGGAATTTCTTGACTTCCACCATCTGAATGATGAAAATGTAGCCTCATATCACCAGGTTAAATCAACACACTCCCTAGTACTGTCAGTGCAGACTAAGTGGCGATTACCAGCAACACTAAACCAGTTCTGCAAAACACAGAACTGGTTAGTGATGAGTTAACACAACAAACTGAATGATCTGAAATGGGTAAATAAATAGTTACCAAGAAAGAACTTCTAATGTCATCTGCAATTTCTGCTTCTCTTCACTCAAAGATTCCACCATTTCCGAAGATGATTTCAATTTAAAGTTCTGGTTGTCAGCCTGGAACAGTAATCACAGCACTTCTACAAAATCCATTTTTGTGAAAGACACAAAAGATTGTCAATATTACCATCAAATAAAGAGGATAGCAAATAACATTTATAAGCAAGGCTAACCAAGGACATCTACAGCAAAACTGTTCAGAATTGGAAAGCTGAGTATTATACCACTGTACAAGGGAAATATCAGTACAGTGTGAAAAGATTTGAAAGAGGTCACAGAGTCATATGGCACGGAAACACGCCCACTCGTCCATGCCAAATTGATCCTAAACTGATTTAGTCCCATTTGCCTGCGTTTGGCACACATCCGTTTAATCCTTTCCTATCCACGTACCTGTCCAAACGTCATTTAAATGTTGTTTTCGTACCAGCCTCTGCAACTTCCTCTGGCAGTTCGCTCCATACACACACCTCCCTCTGTGTGAAAAAGTTGCCCCTCGAGAACCTTTTCAATCTTTGATGCATTTTTAAAACGCAAAGGGAATATTCAATACCCAGAAAAATAAAATCCTAGCATGTTGCTTTCAGAACTTTGCATATTTCTAAGCAGAACATTACATAGTAATATGGAAAAAGAATCCTGGAGAAAACTGTAAAGTAAAACATGGTGGGTTGGGAAGGCTCAGCACAGGATGCATTGGTGGGCAGGTGCTTGCAACTGATTACAACGTGCAAACATAATACAGACTCCCTGTTTGTTTCAACACCTCAATCACAATCACTGCTTTCTGAAACAGGAGCTTTTCCTCACACTTCAGCCTACGTTTACCACATTTGGCAGCTCAGAATGAGACCCAATTCTTGCAAGTGCAATCCCACTTGGCTTTTTTTTCATCTGTAACTTGATAGTCACACAGCAGAGGGAGGGAGAAGGAAGGGGCAGAAGGTAAAAGGGAGATGAAAAATGTCCAGTTAAACTGGTGAAGACAGTTCTAATTTGATCAATGTTCCAAAGGGATATAGCTACAAACAGCATCCTGTGGAGAAGCAGGTATTAGGTAAATGTCAATGTCAAATACACATGAAATGTCCTCATTTCCTGTTGCTTTCTGCTGACCTTGATTAATGTGGCTCCCAACAAGATGATTTGAGCAGTATTTAGATATTCACTTGCATTGCCATAGAATCCAGGGCTATGGGCCAAAAGTACAAAACAGGGTTAGGTGCAGTCAGATCTTAGTTACCTCGCACAGACACAGTGGACTGAATGGCCTCCTTCTGCTCTGTGAACATCTATGAATCTATAAGACTCAGGATTAACAAAGGGCCTTCCATTTGGCAAGCATTTGGTGATCAATAAACAATTTCCTTATGCAGGGTCCTGAATCTTTGGGGTTCTTCAGCCTTGAGGGCTGAGAATGCTCTGACAAGATGCACTTTAAAGACTGAGATCTGGAGACTTTTAGACATGACGATAAACAAAGGGTAGAGGGTTAGATCAAGAAAATGGAGTTGATGTGGTTGTTCAGCCATGTTCTTAATGAATATGAAGCAAGCTTTGTAGGCAATATGGCCCATATTTTCTCTTATTACGTTTCTATGGTTTCAGCAAAGGAACATGGGTAATGTTACCTCCAGACGCCTGCGTGAACCAGTTGGCACTGATTTACAGTTCCAAAGGCCACTGCCATGCACTAAGCTCAGGGGTTCATGCACCGGAAAATATAATTAGAGGGAACGCTGTTCACAGGGACTTTGAAACAGACAAACTCCAGTCAATATTAGTAACTGGCCTCTAACTGATGCCAGGGCGTGCCTCATCTGAACACCACCCCGTAGAGAACAGACTGGCCTTCAGAACAGAGGGCAATTAAAAGTCAACCACATTGTTGTGGGTCTGCTAGGCCAGACCAGGTAAGGACAGGAGGTTTCACTGAACATTAGCAAATCGGATGGGTTTTAACAATAATTGATGATAGTATCATGCTCACCCGTTACTGAGATTAGCTTTCTATTCCAGCTTTTATTAAATTGAATTCAAGTTCCACAGCTGCTATGGTGAGATTTAGACTCATCCCCCCAGAGCATTAGCCTGAGCTTCTGGATTATGCATTAAATAATACCACTGTTGTTACAAAATAATGAGTCCTTTGACTTTTGTGAGTAGCAATTCATTGAATTAGTGTTCATATTTTTGTTTTCCAAAAAGTGTTCAGAATTTGTCGTATTAAATGGAAAGCAACTTAAGCCCATTAATTTACTGACTTTGGAACACAAAGTTCACAAACCTTAAAGAAAGTAAACTCTGGTTTCTGCACAAATTAACAAAGGAGCATCAATTAATCACATTCTCTCGCTGTTTCCCCATAGCCCTGCAAATGTTTGTTTTTAAGTGGATATCGAATTCCACTTTGAAACTATCAGATATTGCTCCGCCAGTTTTTCATAAGGTCAGAAGTGGGATGTTCACTGATGACTGGGCACTGTTCAGCACTGTCTGCCTGTCCTCAGATAGTGATGCAGTCTGTGCTAATAAACAGCAAGATCTGGATAGCATCCAAGTTTGGGAAGATAAGTAGCAAGTAACTTTGGCAAACAAATGCCAGGCAATGCCCAGAGAGAATCTAAGCACTGCCCCTTGACATTCAGTGGCATTAGCATCACTGATTCCATCACTGTCAAAATCCAGGGCTTACCATTAACTGGAAACTATACTGCACTAGTCATATACTTGCTACAAGGCCAGGCCAGAGGCTAGGAACTCTGCAGTAAGTAACTCACCTCCTGTTTCCCCAACACTTGTCCACTATCTACAAGGCACAAGTCAGGAGTGTGATAGAATACTTTCCACATGCCTCGATAGGTGCAGCTCCAACAGCATTCAAGAAATTACAGGACAAAGCAACCCATTTGACTGGCACCTCAGCTAGCACCTTCAACATTCACTCCCTTCACTGCTGACAAAAAGTGGCAACAGCGTATACTATCTATAAGATACACAACAGTAACTCACCAAAGATATTCCAACAGCATCTTCTAAACCCTCCGTTTACATGATCTAGGACAAGGGCAGCAAAAGCACAGGAATACCACCACTTAGAAATTCCCCTCAGAACCCTGCACAATCCTGACTTGGAACTCTAATGCCATTCCTTTCCTGTTACTGGCTGAAAATCAAGGAACTTCCTTCCTAACAGTACCGTGGATGTGCTTACACACAAAAACAGCAGTAATTCAAAATGGCAGCACACCACCACCTTTTCTAGGGCTATTAGGGATGGGCAATAAATGATGGTCAAGCCACTGCTGCCCACAACTTACAAACAAATTTTTAAAAATTCTCATGAAAAACACTTTCAGTTAGGTGATAGCAAATGACAGTGTTGCAGAAACTCAGCAGATCTGGAAGCATCTATGGAGAAAGAAACAATTAATGTTTAAAGTCCAATCTGGCTCTTCTTTAGAACCCACATTCTATTTTTCTCTCTCCACACAGATGCTGCCAGACCTGTTGAGTTTTTCCAGCTCTTCCGGTTGTTTTTCATTTCATATTGCCAGCATCCACAGTACTTTGTAACTGAGGTTTTAAAAACTTGTTGAATGAAATCTATGCAAGTTCTTTTGTTGGCCCATTGTACTGATTTACTACATCACTCAGTAAAATATATTTTGGATCACAAAGCAACATTCAGGAGAAGGCCCTTGTATTTTTAGTTGACCAGATTATACAAAGTCTACCTTATTAAATTAAAAATTACATTAAAAAGGACAGAAACCACAGCTGATGTATAAAGCTTCTGTGTCGCTATGTCATTCATATGACTTATCAGATTACTTTCTTCTTTCATCTTAAAAAGAATGAATTCAACTCATCAGCTGCCATCTGTTGTGATGAAAGGTGTGTGATTTATGTACAGTAAAGTCCTTTGAGTGTTTGAATTTTGAACGAGTGGAATGTGGGTTTTGGTCTGCATGTCTGAAAGGGTTTAATAATTGACTTGTCAGTATTTCTGGAGCAATGATTTTACTCAACGATTCGACAGCAACTGAGTGGGGCTGTCCTGGAATGAAAATGTAAATTTGTTTGTTTTGTGAGTTTTATACAATCTGAGAACACAAACATTGACAGACATTAGCTTGCTTTTTGCTTAGAAGAATCAAAAAGGGATTCTTGCTTCGGGAAAACCCATAGGGTGGAACGCTTTTGTTCCAGTTTGCACAAAACATGGTGGTAGCCAAACATTAAGAACAGTTTCTCCTGGAGAAAGAAGGTAGTTCAGAATGATTAGGAAACAAGATACCTCAGCCAAAGGATTTTGGTTTCAAAATTTCAGAGCAGAAGTGTTTGGTTGGAGCTAAAGGGGTTATTTGATCCCACACATGTGATATTGAAGGGAGCTCATTTGTTGTCTCCAGGTGAATAGGAAAAGTTCAGAGCGATATGGGTCAAACACAAGCAAATGAGACTAGTTTAGTTTGGGAAACTTGGTCAGCATGGACGGGTTGGATCGAAAGGTCTGCTTCTGTGCTCTATGACTCTATGAGTACTGTAATGTGATGGTTCTGATAGTAGATAGGATTTTATTATATCATGTGTTTTGAAATCTTTCAAATCATATTATACATAAATATTTTGATTTGTTCTATTTGATCTTAATTTCTGTTTCATTGTTAAAACCAAATCTGCAGCATTGGATGCTTGTGTTACTAAAAGACCACCAAGTTAAATGCAAAAAAAAAATCTCTCAAGTCAGATTTCAGTCTGGGATCTGACTTGACCAGTAATAATCTCAGCTGGGATCATAACAAGGTAACAACTGGACATATTGTTGGGAGTGGCAGTTTAATTTGAGCAGTCGTCTTTTCAATGTAAGAAAGCTGAGTGATGACCCCTAACTTTCAAACAATACATTTCTGTTATATTACAGTTTATACATGAATAATTCTGGTTATTCACCAGAACAGGAGCAAATTAAGTCAAAGAGGTAACCATAAGAAAGCAATTAACACACCATAATATCCTGACCTTATTATCCATAAGTGGCAAAGTAATATATTACCCCATTCCCTAGTTGCCCTTGAGAGGTGGTGATGAGCTGTCTTCGTGAACCATTGCAGTCCATGTACTGTAGATACCCTACAATGTTGCTAGGGAGAGAATTTCAGGGTTTTGACCCAGCGACAGTAAATGAATGGTGATATATTTTCAAGTTATGATGCTGAGTGGCTTGGAAGGAATTTGTAGGGAGTGGTATTCCTATGTATCTGCTGCCCTTTACCTTCCAGCTCAAAGTGGTCGTGGGTTTGGCAGGTGCTGTTGCAAGATCATGTAATCATTCTATCCCACCAAGCGACGCCTTTCTTTAACAGAGTTTAGCTCAGTTGGCTGGATAGCAATGCAGAATGATGCCAACAGCATGAGCTCAATTCTCACACTGGCTGAGGTTACTGTAAAGGTCACAACCTTTCCATTCATCTAAGGCTCATTGAGGCAGGGGCTCAACCACCATCAGAATAGAATCCCTACAGTGTGAAAACAGGCCATTCAGCCCAACTAAGTCCACACCAACCATCAGAGCATCCCCCGGACACATCCCCCATAACCCACCTGGACACCATGGGCAATTTAGCATGGCCAATCCACCTAGCCTGCACATCTTTGGACTGTGGGAGGAAACCGCAGCACCCAGAGGAAACCCACGCAGACATGGGCAGAATGTGCAAACTCCACGCAGAGTTGCCCAAGGGTGGAATTGAACCCGGTTCCCTGGCGCTGTGAGGCAGCAGTGCTAACTGCTGAGCCACCATGCTGCCCCTAATTGTCTAATCAATTGTCTCTCTCTAATGAGAGAGCAGCCTTGTGATCCAGTAGGACTATGGCAACTTTACATTGTTTTTCTTTAACTAACTGCACATTATATTCCACTCAAACGTAAGTTTAAAAGAAACCACAAGTGCACATTTGCTGCCACACTGTGGCATATTGAGTACATTTCTACCTAATGCAACAACAGTGTAATGTAAGAGATAATGTAATGTAATGTAAGATAATGTAAGAGACCCGAAACATCAGCTTTCCTGTTCCTCTGATGCTGCCTGCCCTGCTGTGTTCCTCCAGCTCCACACTGTGTTATCTCAGACTTCAGCATCAGCAGTTCTTACTATCTCTAACACAAAACATGTGTTGCTGTAAGGATACTGTGCATTCAGGGCTTTACCCTTAGCTCATGGACTGGGTCATGCTCAAAGCCAGCCTGTTCACTTGCTATTATAGCACTAGCACACACTGAGCCTACCTGGATGCTCACAGTATCCTTCCGTCACCCTGCCTCTCTGTGCTTTGCCCTTCCAGCCGGAGATACTGAGCTCACGGTGATTCAGTACTGCTTTGCTTTTTAGCACAGACACAAAGCCAGGAAGCTTGTTATGGTTGTCATCAGTTCCCAGTCAAGTCAGGGATATAGCTTTCGGCTAGGCTGTCAAAACAGAAATCAAGGGCAGCCTTCAAGACCTGTGCAGGGTCAGTGACTGAATGATCTGCAGACAAGGGATGAGGAGACAAGTGTCAGGTAGCCAACTGCTAGTTAGGAGCATTGATACGCAGAGGGATACTGGGGTCCAAGCTCCCTGAAAGTGGCGCCACATGTGAATAAGGTGGTAAAGAAGGCATGCAGCATGCTTGCCTTCATTGGTCGGGGCAGTGAACATTGAAGTTGGCAAGTCATGTGGTAACTGTACTTTTTTATTTATTTGTGGGATGTGGGTGTCGCTGGCTGGGCCAGCATTTATGGCCTATCCCTAGTTGCCCTTGAGAAGGTGGTGGTGAGCTGCATCCTTGAACCACTGCAGACCACCTACTGTAGGTTGACCCACAATGCTATTAGGGAGGGAATTCCAGGATTTTGACCCAGCGACAGTAAAGAAACGGCAATATATTTCCACGGCAGGATAGTGAGTGGCTTGGAGAGGAACTTCTAAGTGTTGGTGTTCCCATGCATCCGATGCCCTTGTCCTTCTAGGTGGAAGTGGTTGTGAACTTGGAAGATGCTGTCTGAGGATTTTTGGTCAATTTCTGCAGTGCATCTTGTGGATAGTACAGACTGCTGCTACTGAGCATTGGTGGTGCAAGGAGTGGATGCATGTGGTGCCAGTCAAGTGGCCTGCTCTGTCCTGGATAGTGTCAAGCTTCCTGAGTGTTGTTGGAGTTGCACTCATCCATGGAAGCAGGGACTATTCCATAACCTTCCCATCTTGTGCTTTGTAAATGATGGACAGGTTTTGGGGAATCAGGAGGTGAGTTACTCCCCGCAGTATTCCTAGCCTCTGACCTGTTCTTGTAGCCCCTGTGTTTATGTGGTGAGTCCAGTTGAGTTTCTGGTCAATGATAACCACCAGGATGTTGGCAGCGGAGAATTCAGTGATTGCAATACCACTCAACACCAAAGGGAAATGGTTAGATTCTCTCTTGTTGGAGATCGTCGTCACCTGGCACTTGTGTATCATGAATGTTAATAGCCACTTATAAGCCCAAGGCCTTGCTGCAGATGGACATGGACTGCTTCAGTATCTGAGTCGAGATGAATGCAAAATGTAAGCACCAATCAGCAGTGAACACTTCCGCTTCTGACCTTATGATAGAAATAAGATCATTGAGGAAGCAGCTGAAGATGGTTGGATTCAGGACACTAACCTGAGGAACTCCTGCAGACCTATCCTGAGACTAAGATGTCTAACCTCCAATGACTTTGACTGTCTTCTTTCAAGCTAGATATGCATCTTCGTGCAGTTCAGAAATTGTAAATCTCCAAATTTATTTCTGATTTGGACTCTGGGTCATGTTCAAACATGCTGCCACTTTCAGCTGTGTAAATTTTCATTACCTGTGTTTCGGAATGTATAACAACTTCCTTCTGATGTTCAGCTTTGGCTTTGAGCTGTTCAAGTCCTGCTGTTGTCACTGATACATTTTCTTCCATAGCTGTAACCATGGCCTGTAAACAACAATACATTGCCTCTCCTATCATACAATGTATGGCCAGTGGACTTGAGCAGTTATTCAACTAAGCAAGCCTTGAGCAGGACAATACCAGATTGGCTCTCATGCTATACATGATTTAGTAATATGCTAGCATTAACCAAAACAAAAGTTTACACAAAATGGTCATGATTCATGTAATTACCCAACGTCCTTGTCCTAAATCAAACCCTAGCAAAAAGAGGGTTTTCAGGATAATATAGAAGGGGTGAAGAAAATTATCTCACCAATAGATAAATCAGAAATTAAATTGTATAGGCCCTCTTCACTCATGGAATAGACACTAAATCAGTAGCCTTCAATGTAGTTTCTGTTTATGCAAAGTACATTTTGAGTATTGGGGTTATGAGATACATTCTGTTGAAGCCTTTCAACTTGTGTTCAAGACAGATGCTAGTATACTAACTTTCAAAGGGAACAACAATTTATACTGAGATTTATACTTAATATGAGAAATAGTGTGTGGATTGGTTGGCAGATAGACTGATTGGTCAAACCATTGACACTCATAATGAACCATTGCCTCAAATATTGTTTTAGATTAAAATCAGAAGACAAGTCAACACTAATTGCTCAAGTGTGTGCCATGGGAAATGCATCAGGGCACAATGTCACTACAAGCTTTGGTTGGCTGAAGCGTGCAAAGCCTGGACAAATTCCTTCCACCTGCAAAGGACTGGGCCCAGACTATGAATATACATCATTGCTGATAGGCGTAAGTCATCCATATTGGGAGTTCCAACTGATAATCTTAGATTGGTTGATCACTCAATTCTTGGTAAAGTTGGCATTGTTTACTAAGTGGCTCAGAGATAGTAAGAGCTGCCAATGCTGAAGTCAGAGATAACAGAGTGTGGAGCTGGAGGAACACAGCAGGCCAGGCAGCATCAGAGGAGCAGGAA